CTCAAACTTACTTTGAAAGGGCGAGGACTACGCCCTCCACCTTGCCCCAGGGTAAGGGCTACACCCTCCACCCTGCCCCAGGGTAAGGGCTATGCCCTCCATCTTATCTTGGCCATGTGCTCAGCAAGGCTTCTTCCCGGAAGCCAAGCCGCTGCTGGCCACGCCTAGGACTTCTTTGAACTGGCCAATGACAATCAAGAGAAGTCGCCATAGATATGACCACATCCTGTGTGACAAGACACCGACTTGCGCCTGGCCAATCGGCAGGGCCCACAGTCTTTCTCCTCCCCTTACCCCAACCCCCTATAAAACCTCTCTCCACACAGAGTTTGCTCTCTTTCTGCCACTTGCTGCTGTGCCAGTAAGGGGGGGCAGGGGAGCCAAACCTAGGTTTGAAATAAATGACTCTTTGCTTTTGCATCGGACTCGCTGGCTCCCTGGTGGGCCCTTGGGAATCTTGAAATCTGGGCACAACAGGACGACCATTCTTGGACACCCTACAGAACCTGCTTGAACTCTGTCATTCTGCACCTCAAGAACTTACTTAAACAGAAAATGCTTTTGTGTAATGTTTTCCCAGCGTGGTGCTGGCACCGGGACTTCAGTTGGAACCACACTGGCATTAGGAATGATGCAGTGTCGTCATCGGCTCACACTCACGGGTGCAGACAGCCCCGCAGGTGCGAGAGCGCTTCCTGTTTTCCCGGTTTGTGTCCAGTTCATCCTAGTGAGCTCAGCTCCCCTGACGTTCAGTCATCCCCGTAATTTGTGGTGTGCTTTCGACAGGATCCGTGGCAGCTAACGTCCTAAAGGACTTGGCAATGGATCATCCCACGCAGCCTGTGGGGGGTGGGTCCACTCAACACGCTGGCACTTCCTGCTTCTGAGTCTGAAGCGAACAGCCAGATGGTGAACCTGGTCAGTTCACTCCCCGGGGAGCTGTCTGGGTCAGCCAGCTTGCCTTCCCCTCAGATTGCGACGCTGTTGCCCAGTCACCAGGTACATTGACTTTTTTCTAAGCAGGATGACAGGACTGCTGGTGCTCTCTTGCTGGTCTCATATACATCTCAGACACCGCATACAGCCAATGTGATGACGGTGCCGAGCGCAAGCTGACGGAGAGACATTAGAACCAGACTCCGCGTAGGAGGACACAAGGGTCCGGAAGGAACTAAACAACACACACTCGACTGTGAAGCTGTGAGGAGAGTGTTAATGAAGGGTCTGTTGACAGAGGAGTGGCCAAGTGTAAAGGAACATGAGGCGGCCTGGAAGATCTGCTGGAGACGAGGAACAAGGCCTGCCTGCAGAAGGGGTGGTCTTCCCGCCCGTCACAGCCATTGTCAGAATCCCACCAGAGCGGAGAACCGTGGAAAAGGACCATGGACTCTCCTCCCATCCTCCACATCCTGCCAGTCCATTGGCTGAACCCGACCACAAGAAAGGCACAGGAGTCGGGAGCTGGAGGCTGTGGAAGTCACCTGCCCGGAGAGGAAAGAAGGGCCCCAATGGGTTAGGGCCAAAGAATCTAGCGCCAGAGGAAAGAGTCCAAATCATGAGCCTCTGGATTAGGCCTGGTAGTTGGGCTCTGAGGCAGGGACAGGTTCAGGGCTCGGTGATTTTTCTGTGCTCTCCTGCCTCACAGACCTTTCTTCTCTCTTCCCATTATGCCTCCCGCTCTGCTTGTCTAAGTCTTACCCTTCTTTCAAGGCTCAGCTCCGTTCCTGTGGCCTTTGCCAAAAGTTTCCTGGTGGCCCATTTCATTATTGTGCCCTCATCTTACTCCCCATGCCTGTAATAATATTTATACTGATCATTTAACACCAAGTCTTTGTATCTTCATTGTTCTAGATCTTATTAATGACCTGATCCTCAAACTAAATAGAAGCCTCGCCCTTGCTGGTTTGGCGCCATGGATAGAGCGTCGGCCTGTGGACTGAAGCATCCTGGGTTTGATTCCAGTCAAGGGCACATGCGCAGGTTGCAGGCTCCATCCCCAGTAGGGGGCGTGCAAGAGGCAGCCAATCAATGATTCTCTCTCATCATTGATGTTTCTATATCTCTCTACCTCTCCCTTCCTCTCTGAAATCAATAAAAATATGTTAAATAAATAAGTAAATAAAAAGCTTCAGAAAGGAAGGATGGGTGAAGCTCTACATATAGTAACTGCTCGATAAAACTTTACCAAAGAGGAGAAAGAATTCCCCGAGGATACCACTAACATAAATAATGGTGTTTGATTTCACTGAGTAAATTCTGTTTAAGAAGATAAGTCATGTTTTCCTCTAGAGCAATGGGACTGAGCTTTTTTTATGAGCATAACCTTTTTTTTCTGTGAAATTTAAAAGTACTGCAGGCTAATCACAAAACTTCAAATGATATTGAAGCGTCCGAATTAGAAAGTACAAGTCTTTTCCTTCTTCCTTGTACCCACGTTTAGTCAACTATTAATAGTTGCTTCATTGGTCTTAGAATGCCTTGATTTCCCTTTCATTCCCGAGGGTGTTTTCACTGGATGTAATACTGTGGGATAATCTCTTTACTTTCAGCACTTGGGAAATATCATGACTCTTCCTTCTGGACTCTACAGTTTCTTTTTTTTTTTAAATTAAATCTTTATTGTTCAGATTATTACATTTGGTCCTCTTTTTTCCCCCCATAACTCCCCTCCTCCCAGTTCCCGTCCCACCCTCTGCCCTCACTCCCCCCCACTGTCCTCATCCATAGGTGCACAATTGTTGTCCAATCTCTTCCCGCATCTCCCACACCCCTTTCCCCCCCAAGAACAGTCAGTCCATTCCCTTTCTATGTCCCTGATTCTATTATAATCACCAGTACATTCTGATCATCAGATTTCTTAACTTGATTCTTAGATTCACTTGTTGATAGATGCATATTTGTTGTTCATAATTTGTATCTTTACCTTTTTCTTCTTCCTCTTCTTAAAAAGAGAGAGAGAGATGGGGTGAGGAGGAGGAGAGGAAAAAAAGGAAAGGGGGAAGGGC